TCTATTTTTGTAGTTCCAACTTTCACCGCTAGATGGACGGCAATTTTTTAGTCCATGAAATGGGCTATTTTTCTATTTTCTTTAATAATGGTCCTAGCAGGCTATAATTAGATTCGTTCGATTCCTTAGGCCACAAGGAACAATTTGTATATTTTGGAATTTTGGAAAAGTCCCTACGTTTCGAGAAAATCGGGATTATCTATTTTTGTAGTTCCAACTTTCACCGCTAGATGGACGGCAATTTTTTAGTCCATGAAATGGGCTATTTTTCTATTTTCTTTAATAATGGTCCTAGCAGGCTATAATTAGATTCGTTCGATTCCTTAGGCCACAAGGAACAATTTGTATATCTCGGAATTTTGGAAAAGTCCCTAGTTTACGAGAAAATCGAAATTTTAGTGTTTCGTAGTTCCGCCGCTCGCCGCTAGATGGCGCCACCTGTACCGTTTTCGACCGAATTCGACAAAAATTGATTTTCTGGCTTTATTAGGCATCAAAACGCATTAAACCCTAATAGAAATTTGTTTCTAAATGCCTCAGGAATCATACTACGTTGTCAAAGTCCGCGAAAAACGCGGACAAAGAAGTTGGAAAATCAAGTATAAGAGCTTCGCTCGCTTTCGGCTCGCTCGCTCAATAAATCGTTCTGGTTGCTTATACGACGAGAGTGATTGAATTAATTTGAGAAATCGCAAAAAGAGATAACGAGTGTCCATTCTGAAACGGTTTATTGTTTACACGAGCCGTTGTAATGCGTACAATATTGCTTTACTGACCCGAATCAACCAGTCGATCGAGCTTTACAGACGACATACAATATCGGCGATCATTTTCATTTTGTATTTACCGACCGGAAACAAACGATAAAATATATCTAAGGAACATTTAATACTTATCTTTAGAACGATTCATCCTCGACTCGAGAAACTGTTTCTTTCGTTCATGCTTCGAACACAAGCATGTGCGCTGACTTAATTATTAATATTTCGTTTTCTGTCTATGAATATGATTGAACTTGAAAAGGCATAGAAACAATAATTAGGAAGGACGTTGCATTTTCAATGGATACCGCGGACTTATAGATCTAATTCACGCGTTGATCGTGAAACTGATTGATCGATAATAATCGTTCCCATCGTTATTAAGATATTCAATACGTAGCAATTATATATACAGTGTGTAGCAGAGTGGCCGAGAGTCGCGAGATCTTGCTTTATCTTTTGTTTAAACAACCGAATAATTGTCCATTCGACGTTGTTCCTATATACAGAAGATAAATCAACGAGTATTTCGATTCTGTTAGAAAAAAAGAATCGGCGCGTGTACAGGGCGTTCAGAATGTAACAACGAAATACGCAGAGGTGAAATAAAATGTTCACTTTAAATTTCAAACGTTCAATTAACTCTACGAATAAATTCTTTAGCCTAAATCGTAATCATTACTTTCGTAACATCCTGTACAAGTTATCTTTTGATTTTCGTTCAGGTAAAAGGGTCGCTACACGAGTCTTGAATATACGACGACGTTCGCGTCGCTCGAGTTTTTAAAATACTCGTTAAATCAACGACGCGTCTCGCGGCTCTCGGCAATCTGACTTCGAATGGAAGGAATACGATTTCTATCTTACAAGCTGAATAATGGTGGTGCGTTAACGTAGTACAAGTGCGCTTTCTATCAAACGCGATCGCGAGCTTTACGGAGTAAACTTGAACAGCTCATCGTTAAGAAGTTCTATTACTCGTTATTACAAACTAGAAACAATCTCTAATGACTTTGCGAATAGAACAATGTAAATTAGGCTCTTGAGCGGTAGTGTCTAGACGCGTAGTGAAACGGAATCGCGCGCTTTGCTAGCTAAACTACTCGACGATTACTGGCAACTTCGACGAATTCGCTTGTACTCGACAAAAGAAAGTAAAAGGTATCGAACAACGGTTGAATCGCCTCGTAAACAGTTTTAATGCGCGCTGTTCGTCGAAAATGCCTGTTCCGTGCGTCTGATTCGGTGGAATGAGAGAAGTCGATGGCGTTTAGGGGTAAAGGTCGTTATTACATGTAAAAGTATTAAACACGCTTCGTACTTTGATAGAAATATGAAAAACAAACCGATATACTCTACGCGTTTGTTCGTTCGTTCGAGATATCTCACGCGCATACATTCTCGCGCGTATTTCGCAGACAACACACACACGCACGCACGCACATTCTCTCTTTCTCTCCTCTTCTTCTTTTCCGTTTTCTAGTAATACGAGCTACAATACGGTTTGTGGATCTTCTTTCTCGTTCACCCCTTAGGCCATTCCACGAGACGGCTACGGGACGTTGTTGAAACGACGCGAGTAGAAAGTATCGCACTTTTAAATCTACTATATTTTGTAAGTTTTACAAATTCATCGAATACCTTCTTCATCTACCACGGATTCGAGCAACGCGACGCTCGAGTCCCAGAGTGTACGGATACAGAGATTTCGGTTTCTTACAAAACTGTTTTTACTTCGAGAACGTTTCTGGTTGAAAAATTTATTGCAAAAACGGTGGACATTTTTAACGATTCAGTCTCTGTCCTATTTTCTACTCGATGGAATGAATAGGATACAACCGTGCCACAGAGACCATTATGTTCCTTTTACAAAATTCTCGTTGACGTCGGGAAGCGTTTTTGACCGAAAAATTTACCGACGATCGAAAGAACTCTGTCTTTATTTTCTACACGAAGAAAAGAGGTTAAATGGAAAGATATTAAATTGACTCTGGCGATCCTATGTTGTCTTCATCGACGTCCGATTTTGTTGAAATCGGTTTTTTCACTGGTTGTGCAACCGTCCGCCGGAAGCCTTCACTTGACTGTTGGTAACTTTCGGTATAGCGCCGATAATTTTCACGCGATTCTGTTGCTGTTGTTGTTGCGATTGCTGTTGCTGCTTATTATCGCAGAACTGAGGAGGAGGAGCGAAGACCAACTCGTCCGAATTCCCGGCGGAGGGACCAGCGTTGAATTCCGGCGGAGGAGGTACGAACAGGTCGTTACTCTGCTCCTCGGCATCCGCTTCGATCGGCGGCGGTAGTTGTGCCAAACTGACCGCGTGTCTAGTGAGCAAACCACTGCCTCCATAGCTGGTTCTCTTGGGATTCATTTCTTTCTCGCTGCCGGTGACCGACAGTACCGTGGTCGAATGTTGCGTCGCTTCGTTCGCGAGATTTCTCGCGGCGGTGTCGTCGAAACCGGTAGGCGGGCCTACCGGAACATCTTGATCGGAGCTGACACCGCTCGAACTATTGTCACCGTCCTCGACCAGAGACTGCTGCGTTTGTTGCAAGAGGAAATCGTTGGGATGACTCTTCGAGGACTTCAATTGCGTCCTGACTTTTTGAATTTCTTCGACGCTGAACGAATGCGGCAAGGAACTGCTGCCGGATGAACTCGAGCCAGAGGTGTTCGAATTGCCCGACGTTTCTCTGGTGGATTCGAGTTTTTCCCTCGCAGCTGCTTTCTCTAGTTCCTTCGCGATCTCCGATTCCGCGTCGTCGTCGGTTTCCTCTTCTCCTTCGTCGTTCTCGGACTCGGATAGACTGTAGTCCGGTTCCGGAATAGGTGGCGCGGTGTTCGAAACCGCGTTTCCGGTGTTGTTGTTCGCCACGGACGCTAGGTTCGTGATCGAAGAGCTGGTACCAATCACCTTCTTCTTTCGTTCCCTGATGCCTGCCGTGCTGTGGCTTCGATTGGTCTTCAACGGTTGGGCGTATTGATTATTCGCCGACTGATTGTTGTTCACCTGGTTGTTGTTGCTGACGGCGTTGTTCACGGCCTGCTGGTTGTTCAGAGGCTTGAAGGTCGTGTTGTTCGGTGTACGCAAGCTGTGAGATTTTCTTACGTGACAGCGAGTAGTGTGCGCCGGAAGACTGCGGGAACGATAGCCGACGGTCTTCATGTCTTCCGGCGAGGCGTACAGTTTCGCGCTGTTCGACGGTCGGAAGCTCGACATCACGCCGTAACTTCCATCCGCGGTTGCGGCTGCCAGTTCTAGACGAAACAGGAATAAGTTAACCATTCGTACACGAAGAAAGGTCGATACAGCGATTGTTTGAAGGTAAGATGCTTAAAGTAGATTATCTCAACGACGCGTAACGATGTGTAGAATACCTTTAACTTGCTGTATATGAGCCATGTTATCGTACACGGAGGCCGGCGTAACTACGTCCGGCACGTTTGCGCCCACGTTCACTTTGACGACTTGACCAACCGGTGGCGGAGGTGGTGGATGATTCGGTGGTGGAAGCCCGTTTCTGCCGTTCAACGCGTTCACGTCTTCTTGGCTCCTGTGCCCTTTCGGGGCTAAAATAGACGACTGCGCCTGGACGTTTAAATCCGGGGTACTGTGGAAATCTCGATGAAGGTCGGAACCACCGCCTAATCCGCCGAAGAACCGTACCCTCGAATTCGACTGCGAACAAACGAGTGTACCGATTCAAACGATCCGTCCATGATCAAGCATCATATGTCCAGAGAGATAGCCTTCATGGAACACAATAGCTGGAACGCGCATAGCTGCCACTACGTTACGCGTAACGTAAAATCTGACAGACACTTGGGAAATACGGTAAACAGGTGTTTAGTACGGGAGTTTTAAAGCATCGAGGACAAGCTTTTATCCGTTGATTCATTCGATACGTGCACGGGTAATCCGAAAGAAAACTATAATTAAGCATTTCTAAGTCCGTTGCCTGACGCGTACGTTCAAAATCAGCGATATTTAAAGGTACTTTTAAATTTTGCAGCAATCATTAGTTTTTTTGGCTATTGAAAGTTAATAGAGCAGGGAAAAATAATAATAACGACGACGTTCAAATAGTTGAAAAGTTTGTACAACGAAAACCATAGGTGGATGCATTTAAGACAAGAGAAGAAAAAGGCGAAAGCGAAATAATTAAGATGTTAGTTAGAGAAAAGGCACGATCACACACGGACACGCGCATACATCGTGTCGTGCGAGGCGTGTTCGTTAAGCTGTAGGTGATATCCGATGCTCTTTCGAACATCGGATTTTCATTAGCAAATGGCTTAGTCACCTGGAATCATGCAAGTCACGGACGCGTTAGAAACAAAGTATTTTCGATCAGTAATATAAGTCGTCCTCGTTGTCTCTCTCGTACCAGGAACGCCCCTTGCTGTACACTCGTACTGGTTTGCGAGAAAACTATAACACACATGCGTAAAAAACAGCCACCGATCACCCCGGTGCATGCATCGGAGATGACTTTATTAGCTTTTCCGAGGAAAAATCTTTCGAAATTGTTGGGTCGAACCGGTATATCGAGCAGGAAAGGGTAACGGTACTCGAACCGGGATGATAACTCTGGCGAACACGAGTAACGCGTTTATAGATTATTTTTTCCGAATTGTCGTTGGGAAAAAGTTGGATCGGTCATAATGTTGGTTATAACGTAACAATACGATTTCATCGAAAAGGTATTAGGGATCTAGCAGCTATTACACCAAAGTCTACGGGTCCTATTCGTACGAACGACCAAGCTACGTAGGCAGACCAACAGAAAGAAAATATATTTCCATAATATATAGGAACGTGTGTTCGAGGGAAGTGTTCTTACTTTGCCTTTGCGTTTCATTTCTGCTACGCTCGCGTATACCCTTCCGGTCTTTGCAGGCGAGGAAGGATGCGACTTGGTAGCTTGACCAGTTTGAAAGTGAGAGCTCATCATGGACGAGCTGTACTGACCACTGGTACTACCTTGCTGCCGCTGAAACAGTTCCTGGAAGAAAGGAAGGACAAAGCTGAAGCCTGTCTGTTTGTTCGTGCAATGCCATTCAAAGGAGTACAAGAAGCGCATCGTTCATCGAGATCGAGCACAGGATACGTAGTTCAATGTATGCATCACGAGCTTCCGGTATATACCTCCAGTTCCGCGGCAGTGATCCTGCTGGAAGTTGGTCTCGATCGAATACTGGCCGTTCTCGGTTGTACGGGCGTGTTCTGTCCGGTGTTGGGTCCTGTGGATGGTTGCTGCGGAAGATGAATCGATTCCGCGCTGCTCGATTTGGCCCCGGTCGATGTTATTTCGTCGTGGTCGTCTCTCTCGCCGCCACCTTCTATACGCGCGTGTAACGGACCAGCACGTTTTCATCAACGTTTCTTTATATCGTACAACGTATCGGTTATGGCGTAACATACCTAATCCAGCGACCATCGATCTTGCTCGCGCTCGACCGACGCTCAGAGTGGTCTTCGGATCCCTTCGAGGTGGCATAGGAGCCGGCGATCTACCGAGCGTACCACCGATCACCACGTTATTGTTACCTTTACGCGGAAGGGTCGCGTACTGTCTCTGAATGGGTTGACTAGTTGGCAGCAGGGCTGCCGATTGCGAATTCGGGAGGCTGATCACCGGGGACACCACCGTCATCCTGACCAGTTCCCCGGACTTTCTGATCAAGTCTACCACGTGTTCGTGCGATGCCGTTGTCACGTCCTCGCCATTGATCTGTGAAAAGTATGGTATCGATAATACACCATCGGAACACTATGTTTCAATGTGTCTTTGTGCATTGACAACATACACGCTGGAGTATCAAAGGAAAAACTTACTTGAATAAGGAAGTCCCCTTTTCGGAGACCAGCCAGATCGGCCACGCCTCCTTGATCAACGTCGTCCAGGTATTGCAAGGCGGGGTACCTGGCAGATGGCGTCAGTTCCATCAAAGGCGAAGTTGCCTTGGCACCTCGCAGCACGAAGCCAAAACCTTTTCTAGAACGATGCAGCACCACGGTACGAGGTTCGGACGTAACTCTGCGAATGACAGTTAGATCGTTGTACGGAAATTCCGAAGACCGTCAGAAAGAGCTAAACGAACGAAGAGACACGATGGACTTACGGTTTCTTCAACCTGGGCGCAGTAGCGAAATACTTATGCTGCGATTCTCTGCGGCCCAGTACTCTGTTACGGCCATCCCTGGCAGGTTGAGGACCCAAAGGGATATTTGTATGGCGAAGTCTAACTTCCTGCACGCAGTGCGCAGGAAACAGACCCGTGCCTTGACCACGGAGGACTCCTTCGAGAAGACCACAGTCGGTAGCTCCCGTGACTGTTACGAGTAAACGAACAAAAATACGCTTATCGATCGAAGATGCCTGTTAAACGACGTAATCGAAGTCGAACAACCAACTACCTTCGAGGATGTCCCCTTGATTGATGTTCAGGTGTCCCAGGATTCCGCTGTTGTAGCTTTCGACGCACACAACGGTGGTTCCAGGAATGGACAGAGAATTCGTGGTGTCCGACTGGGAGGTCCCGACTCCGGAACTGTCGCTGATCACATCGGACGCGGTGTCACCCAGGCTCTTGTCTAGAAATTCACGGAATAAATGGGGACTCGATTCGAGCATCGTCATTCGATCAGCTTGGTCGTCTTAGAGCGATGAACCTCATGCAACGCTAGTTGATTTTCTATGATTATGTATGTATATGTATGTATGTGTGTATGTATGTATGTATGTATGTACGTATGTGTGGTGCTACCTTAAAGCTACCAAGAACTCGTCACTGAAACTGTCTATAACTATACAGCACGTGGCGGTACCGAAAGTCTAGGTTGCTGTGATGTTACATCCGCTAAGACAGCTAGGTATAGTAAGCGCGCGGAGATCGTTCTATTCGGTATAAAGAGGAGCAAAGTTAGCTGAGTCCAGCATGGCGCGTATACCATTTCTGATGGTGATGGTTCGACGTTCGAGTCACGCCGCATATAAAAAGTAATCTCTCGCTTTCCCTTCTTTTTTGTTCTATGTCTGTTCGCGTCGTTCTCGCATTCGTGTATCCATAAACACGCACCAAAGGAGATCCTCGTTGAAGGGTGGTGGTTTTCGTGAAACGCATTCTCGCCGGCGCGGCATTTCCTTCTCTCGTCCGACGAGAGAGAGCGTGGTTAAAGGTCGAAGAAAATAAACCTGCGCGCGTGTGTGTGTTTGTGTATACCTGTGACGATGCTGGCGGAATCTTCGCCTGACGGTTGATTGCTGCCTTCGGATAGGCTCGAGCTAGCCGAGCTGAAAGGAGCTAGACTCCTGCTGCTCGGTGACGGCGACGGCGGCATCTCCATCGTTCTATGCATGTCGAGACGGTGCTGAAGCTCGAGCCGGTGTTCTTGTAGCCTTGTCAGTCCCTCCAATCTAACGTTCTGATAGTTCTCCGTGGTGGCTGGTAATCTTGAAATGGAGCGTAACTCGTATAGCGTCGAACGCGTGATCGTTCGACCTGATGATCGACAAATCTCGCGAGATTAGCGTAAATTGTCTTTGCTTCGAATTCGAGTAACCCCAAACGCGAAGGAGCGCGATTATTTTGAATGTTGGCGGAAACGCTGCTCGTTGTCCCTTCCTCGAAAATCGAGCCGGTTCGATCTCCGACAAGAAATAGGAACGAGGTGGGTCAAGAGAGTCGAATTTCGAGAGCAATCGATTGTCGCGAGAGGGATCGCAAAGACAGTTTATGCTTACCTCGCGTTAGGGTCCCTCAGCGAATTGGGGCTCTGGTACTCCGACGCGATCCGATGGCTGTTCTGCTCTAGGGACCTGGTGGTCGCCGCGTGTTGCTCGGACGGTATTCTTTGTAGGTCGTTTCTGGTCGCGTCGATGGACGGTACTCTGGCGAGGTTGCCGTGATGCGAATCGGTCCTCGCGATACCCCCGGTCGTACCGGCGTACTGCTCACCGGACAAAGTCCTGCTCGGATATTGCTCGGTGGACGGTACTCTGGTGAGCGTACCGATCGGGTACTGTTCGGTGGACGGTACTCTGGTGAGCGTACCGATCGGGTACTGTTCGGTGGACGGTACTCTGGTGAGCGTACCGATCGGGTACTGTTCGGTGGACGGTACTCTGGTGAGCGTACCGATCGGGTACTGTTCGGTGGACGGTACTCTGGTGAGCGTACCGATCGGGTACTGTTCGGTGGACGGTACTCTGGTGAGCGTACCGATCGGGTACTGTTCGGTGGACGGTACTCTGGTGAGCGTACCGATCGGGTACTGTTCGGTGGACGGTACTCTGGTGAGCGTACCGATCGGGTACTGTTCGGTGGACGGTACTCTGGTGAGCGTACCGATCGGGTACTGTTCGGTGGACGGTACTCTGGTGAGCGTACCGGTGGTAGCCGCGGAGTATTGCTCGGAATCGTGGTGGCACCGGTCGTCGTAGCGATCGGGCTGGCGTATTGCTCTCCGGACGGTACTCTGTTCAGCGTCCCCGTGGATAGGTACTGTTGTTGTTCCGTGGACGGTACTCTGGTCAGGTTGCCGGTCGCGTATTGCTCGGCGGACGGTACTCTCGTGATCGCGTTGATACTCGACGCGTACTGCTCCACCGAGATCGTTCTGGTGAGGCTAGGCCCGCCGG